GCTCACTGCAACCTCTGCCCCCTGAGTTCAAGTGATTCTCCTGCCTCAGCCTCCCCAGTAGCTGAGATTACAGGCGCCTGCCATCACGCCCAGCTAATTTTCGTGTTTTTAGTAGAGACAGGGTTTCACCATGTTTGCCAGGCTGGTCTCGAACTCCTGAGCTCAAGTGATCCACTTGCCTCAGCCTCCCAAAGTGCTGGGATTACAGGTGTGAGCCACCATGCCCAGCTCCCTCTCTCTTTCCTTATCTTGCCAATATGGTTCTAAGTTTTGGTAAAAACAATATTTATTGTTTATACTCTTATAATTATATAAATATCATTTGTAACTGAGCCATATTATATTGAAACACATTTCATTTCTTGTACATCTTTTTGTTTTCCCAGGTGTTAATGATTATCTTTTCACTTAATTATCTATATTAGGAGTTGGTGAACTCCTGCCTGTACTATACCACCTGTTTTTATAAATAAAGCTTTCTTGTAACACAGCCATGCTCATTCATTGATGAATTGTTTTATGGCTGCTTTCACATTAGAGAAGAGTTAAATAGTTACGATAGAGACAGTTGGCCTGCAAAGCCAAAAATACTTAGCGTGAAATTTTTACTATCTGACTTTTTGTAGTTTGCTGACTCCTAATCTATGTACCAGTTGGTAATTCATCCCTAGACTATCTACTGGAAGTATAAATCACTCCTCCCTACCTTCAGGGACTTTGTATAATCTTATTAATTTCCTTTTTTTCCCCTCTCTTGTTAATATCCCTGTTGTTATTCTTCACTCTTCTTTTTCTATTTGTATTGGTAGTTCTATAGTCCTGTTTCACAGCAGTCATCTTGGGAATTCCCTTTGCTTTTCCCTCCGTGTTAGATCCTCTTTTCCTAAATCTCATTTCTATTTTTTTGGTCTTATTTACTGTTACGGTGGTGCCCAACCTGAGAGTTGTTTCCTGAGAATGCAAGGATAGTATACTTTTGAGATCCTGAATGTTGGAATTCTGAGTCAAACTACAGAATCACAGGCCCTTAAGTTTCTTTCTTTTTTACCCTTATAATTGATAGTTTTGACTGGGTATAGAATCTTCGATTAGCAACCCTCTTAGACTTCTGGGCACTAAAATGCTAACTGGAAGTTCTGTGTATGTGAGTAGCTTATGATCTTGCAGGCTTTGAGTGAATGGTCTGGGGACTTGACCATTTTTATATATTGGGTGCCTGTCACCCAACTGTCACTATTTATATGCCCCTGTCACCTACTTCAGTTGGTTTTCCCAGGGGAGACTTTCAATGCTCTGACTAGTGGGTATAAGTTTGGCTGCCAGTGTTTAGTGAACCTGTTGGGCAAAGGAGGTTTGGGGGCGGGGCTCACTTATGTAGCAGTTAGATTTTCACTTAATCTTTTAATTACATCACCCCAGCTGTATCTGAATGTCTCTAGTTTTGAGTCCCTCTGTTTCAGTCATTTCAGAGTGGACCTCTAAGTTTTTCACTGAGCTAGAGGAAAGTGGAGAGTCTGTAATATATTTGAATTTTCTTTTTCTTTTTCTTTTTTGAGTCTCGCTCTGTCACTCAGGCTGGAGTATAGTGGTGCGATCTTGGCTCACTGTACCCTCTGCCTCCTGGGTTCAAGCAATTCTCATACCTCAGCCTCCTAAGTAGCTGGGACCACAGACACATGTTACCACGCCTGGCTAATTTTTGTATTTTTAGGAAGACGGGGTTTCGCCATGTTGGCTAGGCTGGTCTTGAGCTCCTGGCCTCAAGTGATCTGCCCACCTCAGCCTCCCAAAGTGCTGGGATTACAGGTGTGAGCCACTGCACCCAGCCCCTTCTCCTTTCATGTACACCTGTACATCCACCTTCAGGGATACACACCCACACACCCACACCCACACACACACACACCCAGTACCTTCAAAACACACTCACATACACACACATGCACACGCACACGCACACGCACGCCCTCCCCGCCTCACCAGTACCTTCAACTTCTGAGCCTTTCTGGGATTCTGTGGTTTGACTCAGTTTGTATCTTAGCTTCTCCTTTGCCTTATCTAAGTCAGTTAGAATTTTTACCTTTGCTCACTAGCTTCTCAAATTTTATGGCTATCTCTTGTCTTTTGCTGCCACTTACACCATTCTCTTCGTCTTCCTCCTGCCTTTACTGTCTTTATGGAGACAGTTTCATGGGGAAGGTGGAGGTAAATGAATATGTTCAATAAGCCATGCAAGATACTGGAAGTATTTTTCTTTCTCTTTCCTTTTCTTTTTTTTTTTTGAGGCAGAGTCTTGCTGTCACCCAGGCTGGAGTGCA